GGAAAACGCCCGAAACTTCTGCATGTTCGGCTCGCAGCAGTTTAAGTTTCCGCGGGGCCCCAAAGTTATAACGAGAATTGCTCTCTCTCTCTCTCTCTCTCTCTTCTTTCCTGCCGTGAAGTTTTCCATCTCCGAGTTCCATGAGCGCGCGCACATACCTTTCCCCATTTTTCTCACTCTTCCGTACTGTCTCTCTCAGCCTTTGCATTTTTTTCCGCGTAACATCCGTCTCTTTCTCTCATCTCTATTTATGCGGCTACTGCGGAATTGTTCGCCTACATACCCTCGCCGAGCTGCATTCGCCCCGCGTAAGCTGTGTGTACATCGCAGACATTTTTTTCCAATGCAAAACCTACTGCCTCTCTCTCTCTCTTTTCTATTTTCCCTCTCCTCTTCCGGAGAACACTCCTCGCGCTTGTCCCCGTTGCCTTTCTTCACGCCGGATATTCGTGCGGCGCGAATAAAATGCTGGCATATTTCAGACTTATCGCCTCCTCCTCGTGCTTGCACCGAGTATTCTCAGCTCCTTTATTGCACCTAGTTTCATTCTTTTCCGGTTTACGGTATTACCGTACCAAGCTATTACACGCGTTTTGGCGTTCTTAGCCTTGTCCTGGCGCATGCAATGCCGCTCGATCCTGCGATTTTACTGTTTTGCGACTCCTCGAGATGCTCATCCGTGAAGGATAGCATTTTTTATTCAATTATATTATGCATAAACGAATACTATCCAAATAAAAAAATATCAATATCTTGATATTAAAAGTATAATACACATAGAATGTTCCAAACTTCTCACTTCTTTATGTGTATTTTGTAGTTAATTTATCAAATATATCTTAAAAAGAAAATTTGATTAATGCAATATTTTTGTCTCTAAGACTTTTTAATTTTTAATTTCAACAATGAATAGAAGGCAAAAATAAATAACATTTTGAAAGTTTATTTCGAAAATAAAATCTTATGATATTTCTCGAATAGTGAATATTTCTCGTGTGGATATGCTAGATAAATAAATAAACTATAGTAGTTTCAATAAAGCGGCCTGTATTTATTATTATTTTTATTGACAAGAGAAACATTATTATTCTTCTGGAAATTTAATTTTGTACGATATTGTGTGCGAACACAGCCAAATTTTTAATTTAAGCCATTTAAGCCAAATATTTTCATGATTCCTTAATGATTGCAGTAGGCCTTAACGATTGAATGTATATCTTGATAAATAATAATGTATATGTGTATAATAATATTTATAATTACAGGAGTTATAATTATATGCACCCTCAATAAAGCTTTACGCACCGTTTTATCTTTAATAACAATAGTAGAAATATTATTATGAACATTACAATTTATGTAAATAATATTAATCTGTTTTATAATATATGAATGTATCTCGTCACAGAGTGAGAGAGTGAGAGAGTGAGAGAGTGAGAGAGAGAAAGAGAGAGTATTCTCCAAGATGATTTAATGGTTTGTTTCCGTATTACGATTATCGTCAGTAAACGGCTTGAATTAATTTCCATGTGTCTGATTATTGATACTGTCACACTACTGTAGAAATCCTATTACACTGTCAGATTGTCGCGCTTAAGTACCAAACGGTACTTTGAGTAAGGCTCCCAATATAATCGATATTGAATGGCTGGAATGGTATCAGCCCTTTGACCCGCGTTAATTTACAAGGACATTGTCGCTATTTGTCAAATCTTATATTATCCAACAATCAAGAACAAAGGACTTATGATTCATTCGAAAGATAATTAGCGCAATGCGATACAATTATCTATGATATCAATTTAGGAGATATAATTCTGATATATATAGAGAAAAAAAGATCTAAAAAATTTTTAAATATACAAAAATTATGTATTTAAAAAAAATATATCTTCAGTTATAACATATATAGATTAAAATTTTTCAATTTCAATCAATAGATCGAATAACAATTCTTCATTTTTCGAGTCTCCGTGTTTTTTAAAAAGAGACTAATCTCATCTAAAGTTTTCTAATTTTCGTAATAAAAAGAATTAAGCTATTTCGACTTTGAAAAACCGTGCCATTCTCTTTATTGTCTAAAAGTGATTCGCCGTAACGTTCCCTGCAGCGAGAACGTGGTGCTACGAGAAGAAGAGAGTCAGGATGCGGAACGGGCGTGTCCGAGAATGGGCTCGGATAGCGGTGCCATTTCAAGTAGCATTTCCTTGGCACAAACGACCCTCTTAATCAATCGCTAGCACCTCTCTTCTTCTCTCGGCAGAGCTCGACTCTACAGCACGAGCTGCGCGCAGCACCGTCCTCCACCTCTTGCTGCCGGAAATCTAAAGCCCCCGTAACAAGCCGCAACTTCGATAAATCTCCCCGCACCGTTTTTCTTTTCCCGGGAGCCGCGATTCCGCGGCATTAGTAAGAACGAAAGGAGAAAGGCGAAGGAACGATATATCGCGGATCGATTTTGGCGAAGGCACTCGAGGGACACGATACGAACGGGAAGGGTGAAGGACCTCCAATTCGAAGAGAAGGGGGAGAAAAACTTATGAAAATCCGGGATTTATGGCAACGTGCGGGCGAGAATCGGGACCGAGCCGCACCGTCGTGGTTCGGCTCTGACAAATCGTCTGGAAGTTAACGTTCTCGATCGTCCCTAGATCACCTTTCCGCAAAGACGGATCCCTCTCTCGATGTCCTCTTCTAGAAAAAGAAAAAACTTCCGACCCTTTTTCGATATCCGTATTTCGTATCGAAAGTTGTATATGCGTTTCACTTTGACAGTAGAAGCTTTCGACAAGGTTGTTTCTTTTTCCAAAAGTCGGGGAATCAATAAACGCTGTGATATCGGTTTCAAACTTTTTTTCATGATGGTCTAAATAAGTTTGGAGAGTTACATTATATAGTTTAGGAGAAGGAGCATGTTTTCTCGTGAAATTCGCATTCTAAAGAACGAAAAATGATACAGTAAAATTGCGATTGAGCATTATAAACTCTCGAAACAAATCGATATAAGTATGATCTAAATAGGAGGTTAATATCGGATTTCATCGTAAAATTCCCCGATCTGCACATATTTCTCAAGTTAATATAACAAGATCAAATTTCTTTTCCAATAAGTATAGAAAATTGCCATTTTACATTCAATTTCAAGTTTGAATTGTGATGAAAAAATTTCAAATTTCAGAAAATTTCGATTAAATCATAGTATCAAAAAACATTTTTTTCCAATGCTCGTGTTTTTCACGGAAACCAATATCCAGAGATATGAACTTTGAATTGACTCTGAAATTTGTCAGTGAATCTTGAAACTGAAAGAAAGAATGATAGCAATCTGGGACATTTTATATAAAAAGATAGATACGTAGAAATTTTCTACAAAGTATTTGCCCTTCCATGTCTCCAAATTTGAAATATAATCTCTGATTGCTGAAAAATATCTAACCGCCTGCGTCTTTCAATCTTTGGGTATGAGAAGAACTCGCGTGTCTCTCACAAAATTTTTCGAACTCGAATTTTCCGTATCGACGACCGTCCGTAAAAAGATCCGACGAAGTAGAATTACTTTGAAGAAGAAGGAACATGAATGCTCCGGTTGAATGGAAAATGGCAACTACAAGGAAGGTCTAAAAGTTTCAAGCTTCGGAAAACCGGATGGGGAAAGATTGCGAGTTTAAGCATCGACATAAACGATTCGGCTTCTTGCTTTCCGCGCTCGAGAAACGATCCGACCCGAATAGTCACCTGCGCCGCTTAGAAGGAAGCAATAACCGTTCGATTCCGGGCGTTTCTAAACTCGAGCTCTCAATTGCTAGACTTTCCGTTCGTAAGAACAGATAAAATCAGGAAGCTCGCTGTACTCAGTGGCGAATATATAATTCCAAGATTCACCGCCCGCTTTCTTTTATCAACTTATTACAGTCTATTTATTTTCGTATCCATTTTTATCTAATTCCTTCATTTTTAGATCAATTTGAAATTAGAGAACATCCCGAGTATATCTCGATGACAATCGATCAGTTCTTTAAAATTGTAAAAACTGAGAAACGAATTGTTCTTAAATTTATAGGCAAATGTCTTAATTTTAAAGATTAAAGATGTGAAAAAATGTGCAAATACGGTTAATCATATAAGTCATGTAATCTACTTTGTGGATTTCACCGTCAAGAATACTTATAGGTTACGCGAGTAAATCATTTTGTCTGGGAGAAGTCTCGAATGTGATCACATAAAGCAAGGATTACTGTAATCCGTCGAAATAATTCTGCATTAGAGCACACATGACTTCGGATACCGCGGCTAATCTACTCAGACCCAGAAGCGAGTGCTCTTCGAAAACGCGAGACTCAAACGCGATCCTAAAAATACGAGAGGCGCGACCTCCATTATAATAAATTCCCAACCAATATAAATTTATATGTATTATAAGCCAATTATTTATTAGCGCTGCTGCAATTCAGGAATAGTCAAGGAAAAAATCTTTTCAGACTTCTTGCAACAAATCACGATGAAAAGAAAAGCAAATAAACAAAATAGCGGTTCCATGTGCGCAATCTTAATTCGAAAAAGCTTAAAAATAAATTCCGATAAAAAATAGAATGTTCAATTATATTCAATTATATTCCACAGAGAAATTGATTTTTTCAATGTTATAAAACATATAATGTAACTCTATGTATGTTATTAATAATTTAAATAATGTTTTGTAATATTATAATATATTTGTAATATATAAAATGTGAATTATTCCTCATTTTATTATTTATAAAATACTTTATGCATCGCTTATTAGTTTCATCTACAATCATTTTGGCAAAACCTTAAAATATCAACAATAGCAATAATCGAAATCGTTAGACGTTATAGACTCGTTATTTTCTTAGAATTAGTTGATCGATTGTAGCAGCTTTTATATCAAACCATCTTCTACGATATCATAACAAGCATACTTGTCGTACGCGTGCGCATCGTGTTTGATCAGTAAGCAAAAAGAGGATAAGAGGACTCACCTGTGCCAGCCGCTCCTAGCCTCAGGACTGCATCGCTTTGAAGAGAAATAGAGAGAGTGGCGGTGTCCTCGAGGCGAGCGAGAACCTCTTCGGGAATGTCCTCGGGTTCGCGGAGGCGGAGGGTGACCTCACCCCCGCCTCCGCCACCCTGGCCACCTCCACCCCCGGGACTCGTTGACGCCGAGTACATGAACACAGATCCGTATCCATGTAATGACTGTAGCGGCAGCCTCACGCCGCCCACTTCCCCGACCGGACCCTGAAAATCCAAAGATAAATCCCGTCATTAGAAAGCTGGATAGTAATAAAAATAACAATTTGAATCATGAAATTAGCAAATTCTTTGTTTTAAATCACACACAAGTTTATAAATATTTATAAAAATATTTAGAACAAATATATAAATATTATAAAAAAATAACCATTTATGATTTATTAATGATATATATTATTCTATTATCATAAAATTAGTTTAAAACTATTCTATTATCTATCATTTTTCGACAGTCTTTTTAACACATAAATTGATAAAATATAACGAATTCAAACATTAACTTTTTCTGATAATATCCATTAATTTAATTTCCATGAAAAGTAACTTTGCAGAAGAAGAACATTATATTTTAGTGCATTATACAGTTTTATAGAAAGTTCAATAACAGAATCATGGTAATTCAAATATTATAAAAAACTAACAACGCATTTTGCGCACAAAATGTATAGACGGAAATATATATATAAAAAAAAAAAAACGCCGTTCTATTTCGCCGAACAAAACGATGGAGAAAACACTTGGCACGTGTGTTCCCGTAGAGAAACATCGAGAAGCCGCATAATATTTGCCGTGGAATTCGATTGGCCGGGATGAGTGGCCGGAAGGCGCGTCCGAATCGATCGTATAGCACACGTCATATTAAATTTAAGGCCACAATACGGCCCTTCGTCCGGCCGTATCCCGTGGGAAGACCCTTTTCTCGTTCTCTCTCTTTCGTGTCGTTTCTCTTGACTCTTGTCTCACTTCTGACGCGACCATCGCCACCGCAAGCAAACGTTCTCTTTTACGAGCGGAAATATTTTGCCAATTTCGCTGTCGATGCAAATTTCAATTCACGAGCGTCAATATTTGCTGACTCGCGCCGAAAAAGGATTTTGATGTACCGGCATTTTTATCCGCCATCGAACGCGCGCTTGACTTCCGCGCGAGAAAGGCTCCACGTATCGGTGAACAACAGAGACAGAGAATTCCTGGACGAATAGGAATGAAACAGGTCTTTTCTCCCACTCGAGATCACGATAAAGAAAAAGAAAAAGAAAGAAAAAGAAAGAAAAAGAAAAAAAAACAGACATACACGGACCTTCCTGGACTCGATTCTCTGCTTGAGATATTATTTTAATGGAACGGAGAGATTTCAATTACGTGTTTCTCCCGCGTTGCATCGTTCCTGGTTTCTGGCCGTCGGAAGTAATAAGAAATATCGAAGAAACGCGGTGAGATAATGATAGTCCATATTGCTTGGAAAAAGCGCGATGTGATATCGAGATAGGATGGAAATTGTCCGGTGTTTTGTGGCGCGCGATCGATCAATAAGTTAATATCACCACCAGAGAAATGGGATTATAGTGTTCACTATAAATAAATTATTCTGTTATTCCCCAAATTCGCTAGAAAGAGAGAGAGAGAGAGAGAGAGAGAGAAAGAGAGAAAGATAATATCGCCTTCGGCAAAGTTCATCGATTGCGCAGCCCATCATACGAAAGTCAGTATTAACAAAGATATACGTTATTAAAATATAACGTCTACAAAAAGTTTCTTATAAAAGATATGAGAATATGCTTTTCGGGATAAAATAAAAAATGTCTGTTTTGCAAGAGCGAATATTGAAAAAATATGATCAACAACGATCTTTCTGCCATAAGCAAACTGATAGAAATAACTAGCATGTTACATCGTCATTGATGATAAAAAACTGTATTTTTCGAAAATGCGCATGCAACGTCAAAGCTAAACACGGGTATGTTTGTGCCGGACATAAATTTGAAATAACAGATGTTGTTGGTTTCTGTAAACAGGAAAGTCGACCGAATCGAACAAACTGGCGAGAATTAAAAATATCAGTATAATACTGATACAAACAAGGTTTACTGGAAATGTTTGTGGAACTCGGGCACGTATAAATGCTATCTGTATAAAGGCAACGCGCCGCTAGAGAGTACAAACACTGGTTTTAATTCCGACGCGAATCTATACAGATGGAACGTACAAACAGAGAACGTTCCGTTCATCGATTACAATATTATATGCTATAATTAATAAAAAAATATGGTGTATAGAAAAAAATAAGCTGGTAAAAATATATATATATAAAAAAAAAAAATAAATCTCTAAATATATTTCCATCAAAAATTGTTAAAGTATAATTATTATTATCTCATGCGTGATCCTCTTATTAGCTTATAAGCTCCTACTATAAATATGCTTTTATACATAATCCTTCATTTCTACACAGTTGTTGCAGAAACATATATATATATAAAATACATGAAAAATCTATTTCTGATAATTTTTACAAAATATCAAGTGGGGTTTTTCTTCGTAGACCATTTGTAATATTTCCACACACGATACGCTTTCTTATATTAAAAAAATTTAAAGTTTCGCGCATATATCCCTAATGCCGATTTAATGGTTCGCGCCGTGTATTCGCTGGCGCGAATTCTCCCATTGTTAGTGATCGAGACACGAACCGCGCGTGTTCTCTCTCTATTATTTACGTAAATTGATTCGTACCACCGACTATTTCCGCATCACGTATTCGCGGCCGGCATTATAGACGGCAAGAGCAAAGCCCATCGCGCCCCCCGTGCGATGAGAGCAATTTATTTTAATGGTCATTTTCGTAATGGGTCTTTGAACAGGGCGCATGAACATTTCTGAATAGGCCACGTATACACCGTATATATATATAACACGGCATACATATCCTCTGCCATTCCTATACCCCTCTGTTATGCACGTGGTCGACGCGCCACGCGCAAGGGCCGTAGTGAGAATGCACGGTAACTGTGCCATTCGCGAAAATGGTAGCACCTGCTACCGGAAACAATACCCACCACCGCCTCTACACTTTTCCATTTTAGCAGCCGCGCAAAAACTTTTCCGTCCCTTTTCCGCTTTTTCTCGTTTTTATGGCCGGCATTGTAGCCTCGCCGGGGAATCCGGTACAATTGGCGAAGCCTCAACCCATTTATGACGCTCCAGGATCATTTCCATGAAGTTGCCATTAATTGAATCTGTCCTGACAACGGTGATTTATCTCACGCGTTCTCGGGAAAACATTTTTGCAATGTAAGAACGACGCTCGATTCTTTCGAGTTTATAATTAGTTATTTCATTTATCATATACGAATATATGTTACGCGATAAATGATATTTTTCTCTCTCCGTCTGATCACCATCTCGGCGAGGAAATTTTTTTTTATCAGAATCACTCTTGCCACGAATACTGAATAAACGGGAGAAGCGGTACCGAGGGACGCCAGAAGTTAAATCGATTTCAAGTTCACTGAAAGGACGAAAGGATTCTACGATTCGACTTCCGTCGTTGCAGCAAAAGCGAGCTTCAAAGTCGGAATCCGGCGTTCTCGCTCGGCAAGGCAGAAGATTACGGTAATAGATACGGCGGGGAGATCGCTGAGAGAGAAAACCAGGCGGAGCACGTACGAGCACATATCTCGCTAGGTAGACGTCATTCTCGATACACGAGCTCGGTCAAGGACGAAAGTCCCCCGTGGGTACTCGGATAAATATCCATACTCGCGGGACTTTTTGAAAAGAGATCTGATATTATAAGACGCTTCGTATCAATTTATACAATGACGTCAATTTTTGCACGGGAGTTTTCACTGCTTTCCAGTGAATCGTTTCTCATGCACCAAATATGCCGTTTCATTGTTTGCGCATTCGTCATCTGCTTCTCTTTAAGTAGTTTTATCTTGACATCAATTTGAAAAAAAAAAAACTCTTGAGAACCGTATCAAATTGTATTCCCATTACGCGTAGCAGCTACTGATAAAACCGATTGATGAAATCAAGTTGCTTAAAATCAAAGTAAACCAGAGTTGCATAAAGTTAAAGTTTGCCAAAGATCAAAGAAAAGTTATCGCAGAGAAATAATATTTCTTATATAAAAAAAATTATATTTTCTACAACACACACAGATACCCACAATTCCGATATAATATCTCTATCAAAAATACAAATGTAAAAATATGATTCCAGATAGAAACGTGAAAAGAAATGAAAGCGAAGAAAAAAATAATATCTAACTATAGAGAGTACAGATAGAGTATAGATCATAGCTTAAAAATGACTTTACCACGTTCAATTTTATTTTAACGGATATAATAATTTTTCACGAATTGTCGACGCTTGCAATCACTTCCGGATGATGAAGAGCCAAGTGTTCAGGATTTAGGAAGAAGTAATAACAAACGGAAACTACAACCCTCGGAAGCCTGATAGATTTTATTCCGGCGCGTATGCAAATTGACAAATTGAATTTCACCTCGCGCCCCGTTCCCAAATAAAAGAGAGCGATACGAGCCGATATATGGCCCGCAAAAAACCGAATGAAAAGCGGATATGGCCGCGATTTCATGCTGCTGCGCGATTCCGATTTCAGAACATTAATCAGCATCCTTCGATCCGGAATTTCCAATAAACGACGCCCAAGTATCGAGTGATTATTTACGAGACGCCACAAATACGCGACAATTATTTTAATTTCATCTCTTTATCTTCGAGAACATGTTGCTTCTCTTTAAAAAAGAACTTAAACGGACAGCTTTGGCACACATTCCAAACATAACAAATTTCGACCAAAGATAAGAGAGAAAGATAATCGAACAATATATTTTTATAGCTCTATTAAAACACGATAGCATACCAGATTTGGCGAACGTTCAAGACATTGCATGCTCCGCCGAAAAAGATCACGGAATCTAGAGTTCAAAGTATAAATCGGAGCTGCAGAGGAATTTTCGTGTCCATCGACGCGAAGAATGAATATAGAAAAGTCATTCTCGATACACGAGCTCGGTCAAGGACGAAAGTCCCCCCGTGGGTACTCGGATAAATATCCATACTCGCGGGACTTTTTGAAAAGAGATCTGATATTATAAGACGCTTCGTATCAATTTATACAATGACGTCAATTTTTGCACGGGAGTTTTCACTGCTTTCCAGTGAATCGTTTCTCA